CCAGTCAACGATGAACCGACCAACCAACCGCGAGGACGCCCTTCGGAATCGAGCATCAACCCAGCCGATGCTCCGACGCTCCGCGAGAACTCCCAAACCCAGAGTTATCTTCGACCCATCCGAATAGACTTCCAACTGTTCTTTTACATAACTCTCGACGCTAGAATAGCTCCAATCGGCGACGAGGTCGTCGCGTATGTCAGGATGTCCGAATGTTAGGGAAGGCAGTAGGTATTTCGGGTCTCCGGCTTCGGGCCGCTTGTAGGGTTGCGCGCACGTCGCAAAACGTCGCGCGCACATAGATTCAGTCAGACCAACATGTGCATCTACGGAAGAGTCAGTGCGTAGAAGAGACGCCGCGCACGAGGCGGGCGATCTCCGTGAGTAAGATAACCAATAAATTGTGACATTGTGCGATCGGACTAGAATTCTTTTCCGAACTCAGAGGGGTCCGTAACGGCACAGGGGATCCATAACACACGCGTCTCCGAATCTTCTTTAGCTATCTGTTCCAGGTTGAATTAGGTGTGTTTTCAGGTGCTGAAGAGCCTCCGCTGCGGTGGAAAACGGTTTTAGTGTCCATCGGATATTTATCACCGGCCTATTGGGATCAGGTCCATTGTTAGGAAACTGGTGCTTGTGATTTCTGCTTGAACTTTCGGCTCAGCCTACGCGATCGCGTGTCTCCAAGGATTCGATGGTGACCCACTGGAGCTTCTCCAGGTCTTCGGCTTTCGCGGCACCGGACGGTATCTCTCATCTTCAGAATTTTCGGGGCTCTCTTCGTCCAGAGGTCGTAAGGCGTGGAGGCATCTGTCCTTGAGCAGCGGAAGTGATTAGAGAACGAGGCAGACCCTTCCCGGGAGATCAGACTCCGATGTCATCCGTTCGGTGCGAGATCAATGTCGGTCGTCGATGTCAGATCACTCCTCACAATCTTTGTCGCAAGGTGGAAATCTGAAGATCCTCATACCAGCGAGGAGACTCTGGAACAGTTGCGGCGGCGGATGCCCGTATCGCTTTTTCGGCCCCGCGCTGCCCCGTCGCGGAGATTCACGCTGACACAGTACCGAAAGTCGAGATTCAGACGCGGGAATCCCCGATCTCCATTAATGCATCGGCTCCTCTGCGAAATTCTCTTATGTCAACGAATTTCCCAAGAGGTCGAAAACTCGACAGTCTCGAGACTCCAAGAGGGTTCGAAATCTGAACAGACAGAGTGACTGAAGTTTGAGGCCATCGTTCGGTAGGATTCACTCAAAAAGGAGGCTACTGCTCAGATCCCATCTTAAGCTGCCCCCGGAGTCCATGAACGCACTACTGTCCTTCGGACTAATGAGGGAGCTCCGATGCGGGTCCGAAAGCCAGAAGGGGAAGCGACTCCCTCATGCGTCAGCGGTGAACAGCCCATGGCTTGCAGTGTTGCGATGCGGCTCTCTTCGTTGAGGGGACTTCACGGAGAGTCGGGGGAAGGAGCACCCAATCCGGATAATCGAGAACAGGTGAGTAGTGCAAGCTGCTGCTCTGGAGAATCCCGAGAGAAACTCTCAGCCGTCTGGGCAGCGGAATGTTGAAAACGCAAGGACCGCCTTATTTCATCGAGAGCTTAAGACGAAGAGAAATAAAACAGAACCCGAATCGTATCAATATCAGCTGATCGGTGTAGGCGGCTGGGATCGAAGCTCGACGGGAACACGAGAAAAACTCGATCATACCAATGATGATTATAGCATTATACCATTTCAACATCAAAGAGTCGGTTTTTGGGGGAATTCACATGGTCGAGACTCTACTGATCTCGGATCTTCACCGCTCTCGATCAGCAATGCGGGGATCTGTAGGGTGGGGGAACTCTGATCTGGGACCTGATTCTTGAAAACCGAGAAGCTGATAAGGGGTGCGCCGATTCACTCGAGGCATACGACCGCATTCAGATGACTAGTGAAAACGCACTGGCATGCTTTATGCGATCGAGTTTCTATGTTTTATTTATCTGCTTGCTTTAGCCTCGATCTCCGTCTCTTCTGAATTTTTCACAGTCGTAACAGCAGACAGCACGGCGACAGTCGTTGAACTCGATATGCAGCTCCGATCACCTGGAGGATCCTCATTCCAACGATTGCGGCAGTCTGTCTCACACAGCTTTTTTTTGTTACAGGTGTTGGTTTTTTCCTCATTTTCGCGTTTTAGTTTGTTGTTGCCTTCATTCATTCAAGGAGTCCTGCAGCTCTCTCAGTATAAACCTCAGCTCAACGCAGACATCGACTCACTTCGGACGAGACAGATTGAGGCCCTTCAAAAATCGGGTGCTCGCGCAGCGGCTGTCAGCTGGCCGATCAGCGCCCCCGACGCTTTCATTAACAACCACAACAGCAAGAAGGAAATAGGGGATATCCCTGATGCCGGAACAACGTTTGTGCTTCCAAACGATAGGACCAGCGATCTGAACAATGCGACCAATGATAATCAATACACTTGACGAGAGAAGAATAAGCGAACGAGATGCGCTGGTTGGCTGGCTGCTCGCACTCGCGACACCCCCGACTTTTCAAGCTCGCTGCAGATGATCCATGAGTCAACGGAACCACGATGCCGGAACGACGGATGTCGTTTCCCTGCTTGCGGACTGACTGAGGTGGTTTGTAGGTTGGTTGGCTGGCTGACTGTTTGTTTGCAGGTTGTTTGGTAGAGCAGCATGGATTGAATATCGTTGGTAAACCACATATATAGAAATAAAATAGCGGGGATGAAGGACAGCAGGCCCGAAGGGAAGAAGCTGCGGTGGTGGAACTTCCAACTGAACTTCTTCCGAGCGGGATTATCCGGTTTAGTATCCGGTGAGCTCGGCGAAGGTTTGGTCGAGCTCGTCCGAGATGCTCTTGTACTTCTCTTTCTCTTGAACCAGTTCGTCTGCAAGAGAGATAACGAAGAGGATTCAGTCAGCAGGTTGAGAAAACCCGGATCAGGGACTCGGGGCACGACGATTATCGTACTCGGTGATCGGACATGGGGGGACATAATCACCGAGAACTCGGACTATCATGGTCAGTCGAACGTGCCAAGCAAGAACCTTGAACACGCATCTCGCGGAGAAAATTGAGCAAAGGATCAAGCACCCGATTCTGAGGTTCGTCGCAATGCGAGACCGGCAGAAAACGGTTCAATCGAATGAGAATCGTCAAATGTTAGTTGGTAGATCACTACAAACCTGTTTAAATACGTTATAGAAAGCAGATGAAACGTGGCAGCGGAGAACCACTCAATCAAACGATCGGCAATGAATTACAGCAAACTCCACGAGGAGAGAATTCGATTTCTCCACTGATACCACTTTTTGGGATTCATCAAGCACGAGAAATTCTATCCTATCTGTCTGTCTGTCTGTCTGTCTGAATAAGAACCTGTTGGTCTGACTCGCACCGAATGTATTGTCTTGTGTTGCTTAGATAAAGTTTTCTTCTGGTTGAATAGATAGATTCTCTGTATACTCGCTCGGTCGCTGGTGTTCCTCCGACTCCGATAATATTGATTTGTATATTTAGGTAACTATATTAGTTTCCTCCTGTATGTATAGAATGTATGAGAGGGGAAGGTGCAAAATTGCAGTTGTGGAATGAATGTCGAAGACTCTTGCGTGTTCTGTCTGGCTAGCAAAAGTTGAAAGTTGGGGGCGGTTGTGATGTCCACTCTTGCACACGTTCGTCACGGCAGTGGCGGCGGCAACGCTCTTGTTGTCTTGGAGAAGATTCGCTGATCTAAAATGCGTTGGCGGGTGGAGCGAGAATGTTTACATCGACTGCAGATCCTTCAGAGTTAACTCCACGTCATTCTGCAGTGAGGCGCATTTCTCGCGCTCAGAACCCAATGCATCTGCAACACACGTTAGATCGGAACATGCGAAGGTTGTCATGAGAAAATTGATTGTTCGGCGAGCGAGCGGGAGCCGTGGGTTCCGAAATCGGAATCAATCGCGGTTATAAGGGCAACGTTTGCACGCACTTCACACAATTCTTCAGGCCTATAACTGACGACAGGGTTCGTTTTCCCTCAGTCGTCTCACCGGATCGGAAACTCTTGGCAAAGAAAACGGGAAATATCCGGAAACTCACCCTCGAGCCTGTCGACTTCCTTCTGGAGCTTCTGGACAGACCTCTCAGCGAATTCAGCGCGGGCCTCAGCCTATGGTGAGAATAAGAAAATTAGATACTTCGTCCGATCTCATACTATCGTCGTCAAGGCTCAAACGGGGTCGATCACGAACAAATGAAACAAGCTGAGGCGAGCTCTGATATTGCTGTGATCGGTTTCGATACCGGAGACTAGATTCAATTACCATTAATATAATTATAATTATCAATAAATCGAGATCCAGGCTCTAACGTTAGTGTGATCTCAGATATCATGGCCGTGCTATCGCTCCCGGATCCGGCAAGTTTCCGAGAAAGAGCTCGACCTTGACCCGAGAGGGGTGGAGTTCGTTGAGGTATTAGTTCTGGAGACGCAAATCGATGCGTATGACGGGTACGGGGTGAGCGTCCGGGCATTTTCACATCTCTCGCCAAATCACGCTCTAGAGAGTATTTTGTTGCTCAACTCCGTAACTCATGCACTACTGAAACTGCTCGTGTATTCGAGCGTCACACTCTTCCGACAGCGGTTTTACCTCCTGGAGACGACCAGTCATCTGGCGGATTTGCATCTCGTAGGTCTCTTCCTTTTGCAGAGCCTGATCAAGAATAACGGAACGATCGTTTTAGTTGTATCACGATGGAGAAAACTCACCTCCTTCAGTTTGCCTGTGACAGAACGAATCTGAAGTTCGTATGCCTCCTCTCTCTGTTGAGCCTACGGGTCAAGAGTGAAGCGGTTGCTTTTAGTCACAGGAAAATAGAAAACCAAGTATCTGCGTTCGGTTAGTGTTAACATCCAATTAATTTGGAATTCTCCAGCAATTCTACAATTATTCTGAATTGACACAGGAATGGATTGAGGCACTCCAAGCTCTGAAAAGGTGTCGACTAGCAGACTCATTTGAGGGGGGGACTCATTCAGATCGAGCGCTACTGGTTCTCCGGACATCGGTTTGCCAAAGAACGGGTTTCAGGGGGGGCAACCAGTCAACCTATTTAGTGAGTACTCGGACACATCCGACGGCGGACGCCGTCTCGTCAGTTGTGAAATTGGAGTGAATCAGGGATCATTTCTCTTGGGTAATGAATCGGGTCGAAACACAGGGACAGGATAGCAGAGTCAATTCTACAGGATACCTTGAGAAGAGGCATCGAACGAAGAGCTTCAACTGAAGGAGTCGTGAAAGCTATACATAGACATATCGAGAGAAAGTATGAAGGAAGGAAAAATTGAAGAAATGGCATCTCGTTCGAGATGGGTAGAGCCGAAGTACCTAGCCTTCATCGATGGAAAGAAACGTACCTTCTCCTCAGACACCTCGAGAGACTTCAGGTTGTTACCAACGACACGCAATTCCTCCTCAAGCTCTACGATCTTGCTGCAATTCGATATAGTTCTTCAGCTCATGGTCTCGATCAATCTACACGCGGCGGACGGGCCTAGATCCCATCCTCAACATCATCATGCATCACGCCGTCGCGCGAGGGTGAGGCCCATCTCTCGAGACAACTTACCTCTCTCCGGTCGTCGCACGTTCTTCAGCTCGTTCGAGATCTGCTTCCAAGAGAGCGATCCGTCGGGCCATCTTTAGTCCACACACGAGTCATGATTACGTCAGAAACATGCGGTGATAGGGGAGGAAAACAAACTCCGAGTTAGCTCACGCTTTTCACACTTGATCACTTACGTCTCACCGGTCTCGGCACGGTCCTCAGCGCGCTCAAGATCAGCCTCAACCATGGCCAGCTTACGGGCGACCTGAACAACGGAACATCACTTTCAGAGGTTGGCGACGAAATATCATATCAGTGAGCACGCACAAACAAAAAACAACCCTTCGGTTGTCAAACGCAGTCAGGGGGCTGAGGCTCGAAACCTCAAGGTTCTCAATACGGAGAATGCGATCTCAGTCGACACGGAATTTTGTGCGGACATGGACCACGATCCCCGCAGAAACCTTTTCCGATCGCACGGCGCCGTCGTCGAGGATCCCAAGGAGCTCCTCCCTTCTGGGATCGACGATTGACCGACATTCCGGGAACTAATGAGAGTGTTCACAGCAAGTCGGATTAAGTGGATTCAACGGGATCGGAGTTCTACCTCATCGTATTTCCTGTCAGCGTCTTCAGCCATCAGCTTAGCCTCCTTCAGGTTGGCCTCCAGCTGATCCATTCTCTCCTCATCAGTGATGTTCCTGTGCTCGAGCATCTTGCGCATACTGACCATGGCAAAAAAATCAAGAAAGCGTCAGTCGATTGTCGAGTACAGAGGTTCATGTCGAGAATACGACTCGGGGCGTTGCTTCGTACGTTCTGCTGTATTGGATATCAAAAGGGGAGCACACGAAAATTAACTCCTTCTCAATGCTTCCGGGCATACGATAGGATTTCCGAGCCCGGAAATCGGAAGAAATTAATGGCACGGCAAGCGTTATTTGGGGAACCTCTCGAGCCTCAGCCGCGGACGGAAAGGTAACCGAGGTCGGTTGTCGTCCTTACAAGGATTCAATTCAAACGGGCGAAATGTGAGTCGAGGAAGGGAAGTTCCACGTCGTGGAAGCTATCGAGTCTGCTGGAGGCGATGATTCCGGACGAGCGGAAAGCTCTGTACTCGACATCGTGACGTCGATAATTACCGTCAGAAGTGTTTTTCATACCTCCTCATACTTCTTGTCGCTCTCCTCTGCGATCAATCTGGCTTGTCCAAGTTGTTCCTCGAGCGTGTTAATCCGATCATCCTCCATGCTGGTTCTGTTTTCCAGAGCCTTGCGGATGCTGCATTCGACACACAACGGCACACGCAAGCGAATCGAGGGGGGAAAGGTGAATCGACATTTGTTAGCGGTTTATCCAAGTCTGAGTGATTTCAGAGCACTTCAAATCGTTATCGAATTCTGTCCACACGGAACAAGCGATAGCCACTGTCACCGGGCGCCGGTCAGGATTTCTGGACTATTGCGGCACAGCCCCACGCAAGGATGAACGTGGGTCGATGCGTTCGGAGTAGCCGCCGTGAATCACTGACGAAAATGTGTCTAGCGTTCTTGCCTCCAGCTATGTGGTCAGCTAGCTGGCAAAGAAGTCGGAAGGCATTTCGACGTCAGACGCGAAGAACGACCACGTGAATAATCAAATCAAGAGGGCCCAACGTGGACGGGAATTCTTAGCGAAAATGCTTCGCAATGATTTCTCCGTCGAATTGAACCCGTCTCGAGCTTGTGAGACTCTGAGCGCAGGAATCGGAAAGGAATTCCAAGACAGGAATGAAGAAATCAATGTCGCAGACATGAACTCAGTTCAATCCAATCCCATCGCTAACGCGCGTCCCGAGATGTGTGGGACGTGAAGCATTGTTTTTTGCATGCCGTCCTTCCGGATCGCATGGACGAGAGGGTGTGAATCAAACTTGGCGGGTCAGCCCAAGAATATCGGAATGATATGAGAAAGTCAGTCGTCGACAAATTAGAGGGGGCTGGGTCGAACAATTCCGTGACATGCGATGCTTACCGTTCGGATTCATCAGCGGCAGCGGAGGTCTCCTCAAGCTTGGCGGTGGCAACCTTCAACCTGTCCTCAGAGCGCTCGAGATCCTCTTCGAGCAGCTGGATACGACGATTAAGAGCGGCCAGATCTCCTTCAGCCTACGAATAGAAATTCAGAAATCGATTAGCTCAGTGCTGAATACGGTGGATAATGTAGGACTGGAGTACCCACAAGATGCGTGAAAAATTGATTGAAAGCTCACTCGGGGAGCTTGGACATTTAAAACTCAGGTAGGCCCCATCGGGCTACGAAGAACCAACGTAGTAAAGGCATGGAGCGCTGCGTCTCCGATTTCCAGCGTACAGCGATCGGTGGCTGCTTGCTGCCGTCTTAGCAACAATCCGAATCTCAGGGACTTCAGTTAACGTTCTTGACCGATTTGTCTGAGGCGTGGGCCCGGCGCTCCACGTACAGTTCCCGGTTGGTTTATCGCTTTCAACATTCGGTGACGCTGCCAAGCAAAACTCGGTACCCGGGAGTACGTACGCAGACCGATGTCACAATTTACGGTATTCATTCTTTACGGCGATTACGTTTCCCGCAGAGCATGGTGTTGAAAAGAGAAAGACGTCTTTCAGAGTCGACTTCTCATTCCTCGTACAAAGCGTTCTCGTTCGACCGCAGTGTCCGGTCTCGGATGACTCAGTCAGATCGCCACTCATCCGAGATCGGTTCATTGGGTCGCGATAGTATCCATAGTATGGTTCCGGAAGCCATCGTTGCGTCGTGGGTGGGAATGGCCAACGACAATTCAACGGTTGGCAGGTTTCCCCAGGGCGAAACTCTGGCGGAGTATTGTCGCCCCAGCGACATTCTGTTCGTAGGATCAGATGATTATCGTAGACAGGAAACGCGGTCATTGCGACTTGTCCACGTGGTGTCTGTGTAAGGCACAGCCCCATCAATCGACCCGGATCGATTGGTGTATCGGAAGCCCACTGTGGCTGACATATTTCATCGATCAACACATAGACGTTTGCCTCGTTTCCAGTGTTGTTAATTTGTGTCTCAGTTGCATCTTCTTCCTCCACGCCGCGCCAGCTACATATGCCCGGTGCCGGTGACGACTGGCGAAAATCGATCCATGGTATCAGATCGCCACGGCTCTGGGAAATTTTCGCAGCGGAAGATGCTTTCCAAGGAATCTTGCGCGTGAAACAGCAACTCCGAACTACAGAAACTTCTTGCTCGAACGCTCCGGTGTCACAACGAACGAACCACTATTGGCTCGTTCTGTTTTCCGTGGAACAATGCTTCAGGCACCCGAACGCCCACCGAAAAGAAGAAAAATGTACTAGAAGAGTTTGCTGCTCATTGTGCTCCCTGACCGCTCAGTCTCCCAATCGGTGCCGCCCGCTCGCGCGATCACAATAAGATCATCGACAGTGGAACGAGAAGCGACAGAACATAGAGGACGAATGTTCACGAAGAAGCGACGCCGCCACAAATCGCCGATGCGAGTTTATCGACCATCGTCACATGAGCGGTGAAATGATCGATTCTCTCGATGAATATATCAATCCGACTTTAAAACTCGATTATCCGGCTACGTTATGAGCCTCGTAAAACAATTCATCAGAAAACCTTTACTGATTATTCTTTTCCTCTGTCTGCCGTATTCCCGTGCATTAGTGCATTCGAGATGGGGAAACGTATTCCATTTCCTTTGTCTCTTCTCGCTTCGAATCGATCGCGAGAGCTTCGGGTCGACGCCTCTTTTTCCTACCGTTGACTTGGCGCTCTGGAATCGCTCCGGAGCCTGAAGGGGAATCTTCGAGCCGGGCAACTTCGTCTGCCTTTTTGGGTCGTGGCCAGAGCTTCAACGCGAGCGACAGAGGACGCGCTATGGTCGTCGGTCGGCCGTCGAAAATTCGAAAGCTATCACTGACTTGGCATCTCAGCTCGTTTTTGAAGCGATGCTCACGTAATACAAACCGCGCCTTCCGAATCGAAGTGCCAGTTGTACCCTCAAATCGACGGCATCGATCGTGAAGGCAGAAGAAAAAACGCGTAGCCCCTGGGTTATCTCGGATCGCTTTCTTCCGCAACCGATGAATTTTCTGCAGCAAGGCTGGCCGGCTCCTCAGAAGTGGACAGAAGTGGACAAGTCATAATTCCTCGAGACGGGATTCAAAGTTCACACGTTCGAACTAGCTTGATTCTCAGCACAAAACAAGGAGGACCCGAACGAGCCGAAAACGAGAATTTCTCTCCAAGTTGTTCTCAAGCGTGCGGGGCAATTACGGTGTCCAGAGCGACTTCTTTTCCCTTGCGTGAGATCCTAGAAGTCTCACGTATTTCAGAAACGTCCGAATGAACAAGTCATCATCCTGCAACAAAAGCGACAACAGGGCGGAGCTCATCCTTCTTAACAAGGAAGAACTTAAACTGAATCACGATCAGCTGAGATTCTGTGGGAACAAAGTGAATCTAGCACGGGCTGAGGAGATCGAAACTTCACACGGCAGTGATTGCACACTCCGGCGGACTTCGATGCCGTCATCGCAGCAAGTAGAGCTAGATTTCCATGACGATGCGCGAGAATTTGTGCCGTTCGTTTTCTTCTCTCTAGAGGAGCAAGGGAACCCATTCGCTGACAATGGCAAACCGTAGGTAACAATAGAAAATGCAAGATGCCGCTCCGAAGCCGTCCACGGTCCTGAACGATCGATCGAAATATCGATTTATTCCTGAGATATATATCAAATATCTATACATATGGGATAATGAGATGCCGACGGCGAATTCTCAACCAATTAGTCATTTTGTGGTCGAGCGGTTTCGACGGGGCTTTTCATTTCGATTGTCATGCCAGGTGTCCGAGAAGACCGACAGCGAACAATCGAGAAACAGCTTTGGGGTTATAGACCTCGCACAGGCGTACCGAATTACGCATCGGCGCCGAAGCTAATTTCAATCGTGTTCGGGAGCTTCGATTTGAATGCTCGCGATGAAATACAGCTCTCCGAAGTCAACGGCTTCTCGGTGCGCCTGTACCCTTCGACCTGATTGTCGTCGTCGTTGACTCGTGGTTGTGGCCGTCGTCTTCTGCGACACGAGTCGATCCCGAGCGGCTTCAATTGCCGCGACGACGGACCACCAGAACTCCGTTCTGATTCCCTCCCTCCTACGTAGTGTACTACCACTACTGCTGTTTCATACAGCGAACGGGCGACCATACTTTGTAGCGGGACGGAACGCCGCGCATTTCAGAGACCCACCGCATGATACGGTCGGATGTCGGCAACAAGCTAGTCCGCATGAACATACTTCATTTACACATTTCGCGTAGTCGCTACCGTGAATCGAAACGTGTCAAGAAATACAGTCCGGCTGGAATTCAGAGCGAGGACGTAATCGTACACGAGCCTCTGCCTTTTACGGTAGAATCGACTCCGTGAGCGTCGAGACCCGCCATTCGGGAACATGGAGAGATAGGAAGAGACAAAGAGCCATGGAGAGACACATTCCTCCACCGACTTGAAACGGCTATTAGATGTGTAGATAGCGGCAAACCGAGAAGCAGACTGACTGGTTCCGAATAACGCCGCTGCCCTGCCGCGATTGCCAGCTCTCAACAAACAATGGCTAGCGAGCGACCGAAGCGACCAGTCAGCAAGCGAGCGAGCTAGCTAGCTCGCCAGCTAAGCAACTTCGGAGACCTGCTGCTACGGCGAGTAACTCGCGCTGCCATGGCTGCTCCCAAAGCTGCTGCTGCAGAACTCTACGGAACAATTCATCCATAATGGTGTTTTTTGTCAAGCAGAGACGTCAATAGGAAGGGTCCGTTGCCGGCAGCGCTTTCATAAGTTCATTACTGACGGTAACCCAGCCTTTATGCCGGCATTTTTTTCTGGGCGATCGGAGCTCAATTCCGATACTTCTGCTCCTTCATCCAATCAATGGAGTCAAAATTCAATTCGGGAGACTCGCGATTCCGTTTTCCTCAAAACAATCGCAGAGCTTCGCGGCTGCATTCCTCGAATATCCTTCAACGGAGAAGGTTAGGATAGCACCAAGAGGTTTCGCTTCCAGTCGGAATGCGTTGAAAAAATAACATTCCGACTCGAAACTGTTACTACGCCACTCAGACTGCTGGATCGCCGGAGCGCTCGCCGACTAGATAGCTGTGTATGTATGCTAGAAATACGATCCGCCGAGCAGTCGAGAGCGAAAGCAGTCGAAGGCAGATTTTGGATCCTTTCGGATGTATTCCCGAGTGGCTCGGCTGCCGTTGCGGTTTGCCGGTTGACGTCCGGCTGAAGGTCGTTACCTCACACGAGCGCACACAGCGACACAGAAGAACCGTCAGCTACGGAATGTAAACTTTCAGAAAAATAACATCAAGAAAAGTTCCATCGCCCGGCCCTATGCTATGAATATACTCCCCATAAGGAATTTGGGCTCGTGGATAAGGAACGGAGTCGAATGCGGGAAAAAGCCCTCGGACGATGCCCGCGATCTCTCAGCAACACTTGTTCTAGAATCCGATGATCTGATCGTCTCCCAACAGTTTCCCCTCTTCCTGTTTCTGTTCCTCATTCATATCGCCCTCGCTTCTCGCATCCGCGTCGGCGTCACAACTGCTTTCCGTCATGCATTCACCGGAGGCGTTTACCGAGGATCTCCGGAATCTCGTGTTGCGCGATCGAGGCGGCAGCTGATACTTTATGCTACTAATGGCAAGCATCGCGGCAATTTTTCATAGTCGGTCGGGGTCACCCTAGCCGACGAGCAGACCAGACTGCTTGGTACGCGCCATGGAGTCATCCATTTGGCGAAATTCTGGACGGAATCCGGCTCATGTGCATTTCGCCATAGGAAAGGGCATGAGCAGACAGCGCGGGCACGAAGAACAAGAGGAAAAGAGCAAAGAAGAACACCTCTCAGCTGGTTCACGACACCGTCATAAGTATCTCAATCGTAATTTCCCTCGTGATAATCATCGTGTTTATCATCGATCTTAACGGCGAACGAGATGCTATGAAAATCGCTGTTTTTCGGAATCTTGCGACGAGTGAGATTCGGGTCGAAGAAATATACCGATCAGATGAATGGCGAACTAGCTGTAGGTGTTTTCCGGCTTTTCGAGCTGGAAGTTCCATCGTAGAGATCCGTATATGGTCAAGAGAGAATTCGCAGAAGATTGAATCAGTGGCGAAGGGTGTGTATCCGATCATTTTTCTCTAAACGGCCTCGTCTTCTGAACGCGGATGCGCAACTGCATCAAATATGCCGTGAACCGATGCGTCACGCTAGGCGTCATCACCGCGACCGCAGAAAAGGATCCGCGACGAGTTCAGCAGCGAGGCTCCTAGTCGCTCCAGCAACCGACCGATCATACGCGTACGGACGCTCTTATTCGAGAGAAATCCGTTGCCCAATCGTTCGGGACGCTCGAGAACGGTACGAGTCACACGGTCACGGCGACATTCCACAGGATGACTAGAGACCGATCCGGACCCCGATCAGCGTGGGGAGCACGCTCCGGAAGCGTCGCTGAGGTGCTTTTCTTGGATGCTTAGGGTGAAACTTCAGAAGTTGGGATTACCTGTATCCGTCGTCACCGGAACGGGTCCTTGCGTTCCCTGTATAGGAAGCTATTCCTCGACAGTAATTATCGGTGTGCGCGTTCGGTTTTCTGTCTGCGCGTCCACCATGACTGACAGACTGGCTCGATGTGAGTGAGTGAGCGAGTGTGTGTGCGTTTGTCTGGTCTGTCTTGTGCCATTAGTCGATGATGACCCATTTTATATGAAGTGCTCGAAAGCCAGCGTTTGGCTAAGGATCGACACATGAACGCGTCATTTGTTTAATAGTAGTCGCCGCGACAGCAACAGCATCGCCACCGATGGTCTCCTATTCGTCTGCCTTTCCCGTGGATACAACACGGCTATTGAACCACACCCGCGTACTTCGTAACAAACTACCGAGTTCGGTAACTCTCCTGCCCAGATGAAACAGACAAGGCATCGCTCTTGAACGGAGCGGAGTCCCTCTCCGAACAGAACACCGCTCGGCACGAATTCGCCAGCCGTAGCCAAGGCGCTAACTAAGTCACTCAGGATGAGTCACTGAGTAAACGTGCTCCGGGAATTTTTGAATTATTAACGAAGAATATTCGAAATTTTGATCTTCCGCCGCACAGCGCACAGGTATCTTCCCTTCAGGCCTCCAGGCAGGTCCATGGCGTAGGGGAGCTCTAAGACTCGCAGGGAGGAGAATCTGAATGGGAGCTGATATGAAATAGTGCCACGATTCGTGATAACGTTCATTGCCAGTTCGGTGTCGACTCGTCATTAATCGTTGGGCATCTCGCTCGGGTGTGACTCGCGCGCACCGAGCACAGAGCCAGCCATCCAACTCCACCACCCGCCCGCCAGCCAGCCAACCCGTGAACCGAGCAAACAAACGGGCAGACAGACCGTGAGCGAGCACAATGGCCGCGAACGGAGCGATATGACGACGTCTGTGAGGATTGGTCGACCAAGGTCGGAATCGAAGCTAAAAGTGACTGTCCCTGAATGTCAGTGTAGACAACGATGACATTCCTCCCAAAAATCCTCAATCATCAACTTCATGGTCGCGACTCCGTGCCTACCTCCGCAGACGGTGGAGCTAGGTGACGTTCGATCGAGTTTCCGCTCCGTTCCGAAAAGCTTCTACATATATGCGGCCGAGTTCACGGTATGCGAGCTTAACTGATAGTCATACATAGGTAAAGAATCTATTCGGTGAGCATCATTGAAGTGTTTGACCGAGAATCTCCGTTTCGCTCAGCTTGGAATCGCTGACCATGAGGATTCAATTGAGAGCGTTCGTTGCGTTTCTCAAACGGCTTGTGGGTCAGCTGTTCGTGACGGCGCGTTCGTAAGGACGATCATTTCTGAGAATCTGCTCTTTGAAAGAAGATGCCCCGTATAAGACACGATAGAACAGTGCGGATTAAGAACTCAGAAAATGAGCCAGGGAAACCAATGTTCCTATGAGGTGCAGCCCTGTGCCGTATCAGGCCATAGCAGTCACCTGGGTATAAACTTGACTGAAAGATGAACACATTCCATGGATCCATGCAGCTTCCACGATGAGTCAGACCCTGTCACCAAAACCGAGGTGGGCGCTCCTACGACAGGAAATTTCTCGAAACCGTTGCGACGGAAATTCCCATGGATTCTGAACCGATTCGGTCTTTAATCGCGCTCCACCTCGTCTCCGGAATACCGGCGTCATCTTCGTGTGTGCTTATCCTTTGCCTTAATTAGAGACCTTGATTGGTGATTCTATCTACCCTGATCTACCTTCTGCGGCCCACATGTGACATTGTGTCGGGCAGTCGCTTATCCGAGCGAGGTTCGTCGTTACCGAAGCAGCAAGCATCGGAGGATTCCCCCCTGTAACCCGAAGGAACGAGACCCGAAACTACGAACGAATACGGTGTGGAGCAGCAACACTGATGTATCCTCGGAGGAAATACTTTCCGAAGAATATAAGCTGCCGGGTCATGGTCGCACCCACTCGGAGAGAAACGAGAACCTCGTAGAGAAGCACTCTCCGGCAGCGCCCAACGTTAAGCGCCGGCATTTGGGCGGAGACTTTTAGAGCAGCAGGCATACTTGTAAAGGCTAACAATTGAGAATTTTCTTTGCCCCGCGGAAAGACATAGCATTCAGGAAAGACTTCGGAACAGTAAGAATCCGTGTCGAAGATCATCCTGATCCAGAGAGAAATTCTGCGTAAAGCGCGTTAAGATGAAAAATGCATTCAGCTTACTTTTTCTTTCTGAGCCTTCTCCGAATTATACAATCGCTGTAGCTCTTCGTTCCGCTCATTCGCCATTTCGAGATCGCATTTGACTGCCATCATCTTCTTTTTGAGGGTTTCCAGGAGTGCCGATCCTGTCGTGCTTTGGTTCGACATTGTGCTTGATGTGTGGTGGTTGGATCCCGTTCACGATGTCAACGAAAAAAACTCAACAGCACAGTACACGAGCAGCGGTTCACTCGGAACAAACTTTCCTTACTCCGGCAGGAATACCGTGGCAGTGATCGTGTAGCACCAGTGGACGCTCCGCACACCACAGGACGAAAGTCAGTTCGACTACTGGGACGTCTGTGTGTGGACGCTAGCGCTTAACCCGCTGTATACCCGGAGCGGAGCGATACGATTCCATGACGCCGACAACTAGATCCAACTTGCAAGCGCTGCCGCTCTGACCACAAAACCCGTGTAGGAGAATCTTCTACACGAAGAAATTCTGTTTTCGGCTGTCTATCAGGTCGCTCCTCCGAGAAACGAACAGGGAACGGAATAAGTAAGTTTTTCGGGAACAAGCGACACACCCTGTGACGTAGAGTGTTTATGGAGAAGGTGGTCATCACATTTTACCACCAGTATGCGATGGTTATTCGCGGGAAACCGCGATTAACAGGTTGTTGAGCGTTCACGTAAGCTCGAGTGATCAATCGACACATGATATCTCTACTTTCGTCAGACAATCGAAGTAAGCAGAGCGATCGTTCGTAGATCGCTTAGAATCGGAATTGACATCGCAAACTCAACGTGAAGAATGGCGCGACTTTCAAATGTTCGCGCAGTTCCCAATTCAAACACGAAATCGTTCCTTCGTCGACTTCCGTGACTGGAATCCCTTAAGACCGAAAGAGCAGCACGAAATAGTCGAGTCCCATCTGAACGGTGAGCCCCGTGTGTCCCATTTATCGAGTACGCGCGGGAATTGAGCTAAGTGTGGAGAGCCGAGCCTCCAACTGAATGTGGGATTCAGAGGGGCTTCTAATCTATGCGCGGAAGAGCGCTGAAATTCGGCTCCTTGACGAATCGTATAGTCTAGGTAGCCTCGTACATATGTAAGTTTCATGATACTCACGGCTGCGAGGCCTTTGTCCTTCTCTTCGAGGGCGTTGTTGGCGGTCGAAAGTTGCTCCTGAACCTGGTCGAGGTCATTTTCAATCTGCTGGATCTTCTTCTGCAGGGCGCGGACCTCCTCTTCGGCCTGTTTTTGAGAAAAAAAATCACTCAGTCTTCGGCGAGGCTCTCAATCTTTGGAAGGGAGGAGATCTCAAACACGGAGTTATTATTGATTGCGAGACAAGAAAGGCATAGATCCTGCACATCCTGCATATTGTGTGCACTTACGTTGTATCTGAGTACAAGTACACGACCATGCTCGTTAGGGACAGGGAATGGATTCGGCAGGGGTCAGGTGAAAGCGGTTTTGTCGTTCCTATGCTGTTCATTCAGAAACACCGCTGAATTCAACGATGAGGGTGCGGCAGTCTTCGAGTTCTCAATCGACTTGCACCAGAAACCGGGTAGGCTTGCTACCTCATAGCAAAGAAGAGCTCTGGTATGCTTCGAGTGGCCAGCTTTGAGTAGATACCAATAAGGCAATGCTGACGTCACAGTTGGCATTTGGCCAGCCGCTTGTAGGGTGTGGGCAGTTCAACCCGGGACCAAGGGCTGGACCATCTTGAACAACTGGTCGAGGAACAATTCACCTCCGAACAGGAAGTAACGGAAAACAATGAATGAGAATGTCGATATCCATCTCCGAAATCGCCGAATTCTGCCGCACTCAAGGTGAAACTCGAAACGTCTCGGCCGTACGATATGATCATTTTCTCATCGCGGCAGAATGCATCGATAAATTTCGATCACCCGATTTCTCCGAGTAGGCTCGGAGTCGTATGCTCTCCAGAGTCCTTGATCCTCGATATTTCTTAACCATCAACACGAAGCGGAAGTAGGGCGGGAGGACGGCGAGGAATCCCCGATAAATTTTGAGCAATTTGAGTTATTAAGGATCGAAGACAGGACGGAGGAAAACACAAGAAGTCGCAGAAATTCCGAGCATGTATGGCACGATGGCGGTGTAACTCGGGGATTGGGAGCGGGACACTGTCTGCCAGCGACTGGACGAGGCCTCTACACTCGGTGGTGGTGGTGTTAGGCATGGGGAAGCGTCCCCCGTCGAAGATCGTCTTCGCACTGGGACAGCGACAAACCGAACTTCGACGAGTCCCTACAAGTAGCGTTTAGCATGAGGACGAAGCAGGTGAACTTTTGAGTTGCGTTTTCTGAGCATTAGACGAGAGGAAGCGGAGGGTTCATGTCAGCAGCAGCACTTCATCGAATTCGAGCTTATCCTGGAGGCGTGAACACACAACACTGAACGGGGGCACATCGCAAGAAACGGAAGCACGTCGACCGAACTCTTCGGATGCGTTCTGGTCGAAAATCAAGATCTGCCGGTGGTCGGTCGGTGTTTCGCAGCATGTCGGGCGGTAGGTCGCAGAAAAAGGATGCAATTATCATCTTCATCATCAAGTGGCAAAGGAGGACGACGGACAAACAAGACGACGAACCTTCTCGGCACGAAGAACGGCTTCCTTGGATTGTTGTTCAGCAACATCGGCACGGTCGGCGGCGTTGTCCTTCTCCAACTTCATCGCCTGCATCTTCTTCTTGATGGCCTCCATTTTTCCTGCTTTGTGGCTTGGGGCTGGAGCTCCGAGAGAAAACTCAACAGGGCAGACGCGAAGGAAACGTCGACGACGAGCGACTGCTAACCGACGGCCACGAACGACTGGCTTGCTTTAACTCCAGATAGCCTATAGATACCCTTGTTGAGTGCGCGCAGGCGCGAGAGGTCTCAACTCCGAGAAAGAGGGAACAACCAGCACCGTTGCTAGGTTTGAACCGGCCGCCCGCCCGTCCGCCGGCCAGCCGCCGAGCCACGGTCCGTCCACTCAACCCACAAAGGGCGGCAAGGGAAAAGCAGCCGCGGCAGCACCAGTCCTCCGTAGACTCAGTCAGTCAGTCAGTCGTTCGCTGGTTCGGTCGGACTCACAGACAGACGAAAGCTACGGCGGCCGGCCTTCCTTTTTCGTTTCTCCCTGCCACCAGTCACTCGCCTTAATTATAAACACTACCAGTCTAAAGTTCGGCTTCTTCTCCACAGCTCGGCTTGCTCGCTCGCTTGCTGGTCTCTTGCAAGCGAGCGCATTCACTCACCGTAGGTTGTCGTGGGTTGCCACTGCTGTGGCGGTGGGTCTCCCAGCCAGCAAAGGTTTCTCCAGCTCTTCCTATGAGCCGCTAACCAAGTTGGAAGCCTGCGGGGGCGGCGGTTTCTTTCCACTATCGAGTATTCGCTTCTGTTCAGGAGTCTGGCTGAGTCCCCGCCGGATTTTCATCCTGATCTCGATGGTCATTATGGCTTTAGTGAGACTTCCGGGGGACCGGAGGAATATCGGCGATTCCCTGGCCACGAATCCGCGCACTTCTACCTCCCTGCGCAGCCCAAAGTCGTCGCATCTCTTGATGGATTCGGGTCCGCGGACAGCGAGGAATCAGTACCCTGGGTTTTTCATAGGAACCTCCGAAGGGAGGAAGAGGGCAGGAGAGGACTCAGCCAGACTCTCGGTCAAAGTCTCTGACCCCCAAGTCTGACTCCCATATCCTGGAATCGTTCCCCCAAAATTTCCCAAAACGCGTTCTCGATCTGTTGTCGGCTGGGGATTCGAGATTCCTGCCTCGTTCCGCGGGTAATTACCATTGATAGCCAGCAATCCGAAATGACTTGGGTCGTGGTTCGCTCTCGAGTGCTTCTTCCGGCAGTGGCTCACGGCTTTGGGGACCCGCATCGAGCTCTCCTTCAAAATACCACGACCGCGGCGAGTTGATGTCACGTCGGACCCAGAATACATCATAGGTCTCTCGCGGGGCTTTATTCTTTAGCAATTTTCTGGATGATTAGCGAAGCTTCGGGAAAGTCGATGCCACCTCCTTGCGAATGTGGTCTCGCAAGAGACTGGAATCCCAGGCTCGCGGACGAATGCCAAAATCGAACTGATGAGGAGCTCCCATCGGATTCTTCTCCCATTGATTGCTAGGGAACTTCCACTCTGAATATGATAAACTTCCAGATGCAGGTACATTCTACGGCCTACTTCGAACCTAAGTGGGATATTCCTACGTGGTTTAGTTATTCGTGGCATTGAGACGGAGTGTCATAACCGCTTGATAGACAATAGAGATCACCGCAGGTATCGCTGCGGCCAGAACATCTCCCGAACAGCAATAGTCTCGAGGGGTCTCGGAAGCTGCCCACCGTCGCTGCTGCGAAGATTCTCGGTCGTTTCCCTGATGGCCCGATCTCTCTGGTCGCTTCTGCCTACGATGACCTCGAAGCTCTCATCCCTGACCCATATGTCACCGATGCGTCCACCGGTTAAGTTTCCCAAACGTGTTTTTTCTTCCAGATTTCCGTTCGAGACAGTCTTCATCGGAACGCCGTCTCTGGAAAGCCCTGCCGTGAATCATATTGCGAATGATTGATAGAGTCCGAGCTGCTCTCCGAGAGAACAGCGCTCAACTATTTGCCCGGGGAAACGTCGATATAGAGTTTCTAATGCCGGGCGTCGCTGTAAACATCGGAATCTGCTTCCAGTACGTTCTCTCCTTTCTAGCAATCTCACGCGGGTCGGATTGCTCGCTACATGTGCAAATTAAAAAAGGAATATTCCAGCCTACGATTCCGAGCTCTTTCGCGGCAGATTTCGCTAATCGCGAACTCGAGGAGATTATCCCCGTGCGGTGATAGCTCTGGATACATCGAGGAACGCTCCCAAGAAGCCGTCGACAGAACAACGGCCGTTTCCCCCGACAGGTTATTCGAGGGGGCAGACAGAGTAATGAGCGCGGAGACTTGAAATTCTACACTGATTGATCCGCCGCGTGGAATCGATCGGTCTTTGATGAACTCCATTCCGAGGTGCAGCTATGAGGAGGATGAACCTCATTCGACCTAAGCTGTTGATACAAAACATATCGGGCATGACGTGCCACTGTCGCTGCGCTCGTTCGACGGCGGGGTTGACATAAACCACCGCAACCGGTGAGCTGCTTTTGGTAAGACGGGACATTCTCAGGTCGTGTGACACAGCCAAGCAAACTTTCGGGAGATGTCCGGTGTGCGCCTGCGAAGCAGGCTGTCTTCCTTGTATTCTCTCCGAGTTTCTCGCAAGACCTCAGAGGGACGCTCCTCCGCTCTCTTCGCCTCTGCCCATGGCCTGAGTCACGGGGCTGCTGTCGTCTGAAGACTATCGGCTCAGCCTTCATTTTTCAAGAAGCATCCCTTTATTCGGAAAACTCACCCAGCAGTTCTATCACTCGGATTCGGCAAATGAAACCATAGAAATTATCATTACGTGAGTATATCGCTCCCTTGAAGTCATCAACAGTCTAGAGTACTCCCCAACTTACACCACCCGCCGAGTATCTCGGTGAAGTTTGAATCAAGTAAGATCGATGGCTCTCCGCTCTCTGAAATTATTATTAGGATACTTCTGGAAGCCTGCAGAGAAAGTTTCCCATCGGGCTCCACTTGCCAAGATTAAGAAGCATCATACTTTCGCCACTACAGCGTTGTCTGATCGTTCTGGGAGGGTTCGGTTCATACAGCAGACCCTGCTGCTCTTCTAAATCGTCGACAACCTGTGATCAGGTCTCGGTGCTCGAAATCACTGACTGAACAGCCAGACTTGTTGCCTACTTGCTCGGTTCAGCAACTAGCCACCAGGCTGACTGGAAAACGAGAGGATTGTCACACCCTGACGCGTTCGCGCATCGCTCCCCGTGAGAGAATTAGAACTTCGTATATAGGATACAAGTCAGGCGGTTCCCCTAAAACGGATTCCCCATATGCAGCGTGCTATCGTAGGGTGCGCGAGGACTTTCCTGGGGCAGCGCCTGATGGCCGATAAATGGAGAGAAGAACAGAAAGGCTTCTCAAGTGAGTGACAGAATGTCGCTGGGAAATCGCAACCTCTGTGAGTCGATCCGATTGATATAATCGTTTTACTGATCGAGCCGAGCAGAGCGCTTTCGAATCTGGAATTTGGACTTTCCGGCCGTGTGACGCTGATGGCGATAGAATACCCGTGAAAGTATCCGTGACGAGAACACGGAGTCCTCCGAAGGTTCTCAGTGGAGGGAGCAATCAGTATTCCTTCACCTCTGAATGATGATCAAAACCCATCATTTACCCGAAGTAGAAAACTCCCGCCAATCGGAAGATGAATCTTGAAGCCCGTACTCATCGTCGGCCGGTGGTCATCTTCTCGACGGGATATCACCGGAGCTCGCTGAAAATCTCTAGGGATCAATCTCGGTGAGATCAATGGTCGATTCCTATTCCTGTGTTGTGAACAGGACTGCGAAGACGGAGTCAATGCGAATCGATCCGGCACCCAAATCGCGGGTCTCGGCTCAATACTCGCAGGGTGAAAGCTCATATACGGTCTGAAGTTATGGAATAAGCCTCCAGCCCGTGTGCGGCTGGAGCACCCGCTCATCCCGAGAGACGTGAACGGAGGGAGATGGAGCCCGAGCTCCGATATCTCGTTGCTGCCTAGCAGTTATAGGTCTCCCGGCTCGAAGACTGTTAGCGGAGTCTCCTCGGCCGCGCTCTTCCGAAGATATCTGTTCATAACCTTTTCTCCAGACAAAGAAGGAGTCGACAGGCGACACCGCTCGTGGGTTGGGAAGCGATAATGACACCAGCCTCGTTCTTCTTCAGAAGAGGGGAGAGATGCTGGATTTGCTATGGATACTCGTCCACCCTCCGAGCTCGGACTCGACATCGACCATAGTCTTGGCGAAGCGCTACATGGCTTCGCTCCTTGCCGATCTAGACGGATCGAAGTAGGTACCCAATTTGGGCGCTGCGCTGGTTTGCGCTGCTAGAGAGCGAATAACTCCACCGCGGAACTCCCCGTCATTTCGATAAAACTCCGCGAGTCCTCTCAGCGGAACGCTTGATCTTTTGGAAGCATCCGAGGACGGCGATAACTACGGAGGGCGTCGTACGGCCTCCAATCTCTTGGCTTGACGCCGCATTGCCTCATGCTAGGGAGGTGCATCGGTTTCATGTTTCCGACTCCCACATCCGTCAGATTGACTCATGGTCATGATGAATTACTCTATGGTGGCCAAATCCATTCATCGTCACACAAAGTTTAGGTCAGTCGGGGAGGAGGATTTCTGGCGCCGCTCATTCGAAGAAAATTGCTACATGCATGATCTTCATGTTTCTGCTTTCTAGCGAATCTCCCGTCACGGCCGCCCATCGGAGCGCTGGAAGGTGCCCCTTTTTTGTCCCGTTTTTCTTGATTATACGTATGACCAATGAGCCGAAATTTCCAAAAATTCGCTCCTACACAATCTAGTTTCAGGACATAGAGCACCTTCCCTCTCTCAATCAACCAAATGATGGGTGCTCCCTTCTATGAGAGTTTCCTAATATTTATTTCTTTTTTGAGTTAGTTCGTCCTTGTATGATCCAAATCTCCCAGGGACCGTTCACCCCAATTTTCAGCTGACGGAACCCAACCGCTAAAGTCACGTGACCGCGATTGGTTTCGGCTCGTCACCCGTCAGACAATAGGCGCGAAGACATTACGTGGGATAGGTTAGAATTTGGTGGAGGCAATCGAAGGGAGATGAAGTACCCCTCCTTGGAACCTCCAGTCGAGTGAAAACATTCGAGTTCATTCGAAACAAGGTCTCGCGATGTTTGAGGTTCCCTCTGTACAAATTTTTATTTAATCTAATCGAACAATTATCTCCTCATCGGGACAATCCAGAGAAGTGTTTTTCTGCGTCAAATTTTCATTCCGATGCCGTAGAGACGATTTGTTTCATC